TGTTTGTCTTTTGTGTTTTATACCTTGAGGGCAATGTATGCTTTAAGTGTGGGGGAGAGGAAAAAAAATTGAAAAAATTGAACAATCCAAAAAGGCCTAGGATGAAGTTGGTTTGATTATCTATAGCATGTAAGAATTAGACTATTTTGAATTGTATTGTTTAACTTATGTATTTCTATATGTTGCTTTGAAAACCCTGCTTTTTATGCACTTAGTCATGACTGTGGGATAAGCGTAAAGTAAGATATAGTTGCATGAGTTTGATGTAGATATACCATCAAAAGTTGTGTTTGATTCACTCATACTTATATGATTTGAATGTGGAACCTATCATGTTGTGAAGGAAAAGCAAGGCATTAACCCAATATCAGCCTTAAAAAACCTTATTGCTTTGACACTTTGTGTTAAGTAAGTTTGGGGGAGGGGTGTTAGCGGATGCTTCTGAGGTTAGGTTAAATTTAATGAGGGAGAAAAGGAAGAGCATTCAATGTTGATGCTAGCCCCATTGAGAGGTGAGGAATTGGAAACCTGAGCGGAGAGTCCTCAGGCCCGGTGAGGAAAAATAGATATATAGACTGCCCTATGTTGGTGAGCCACTATGTAAAGGAATGAAAAAATGCTCTGGGTAGTGGCCTGAGTTGGAAAGAGTCCTGAAGAAAAGCCGCATGGACCGAAGAATGGGTTACGAGGGGGAATAGGTTGTCTGTGAGATAAGTTCTTCTACTTCATAGTATGTTTGGTGGTCCATTGCATTGAAATATTATGAAATGTGAATCTGTGTTAACGTCTTAATATATGGAATATTTGCAGTAGAGCTTTTGTTTTCTATGTTGAATGTAAAGTGATGTCCCTGAGAAACGAATCGTACACACACACAAGCGTGGGGGCTAAAAGTAGCTATGGTTTGCATTGTTGGGTAGTCCACACTAGAGGTAGTTGAAGTCTTTGTGTTGCATGATGTTAAATCTCTGAGGCCGCCTAATTAAATAATTTAATGTTTTTGTTTGATTTAATTTTTGGAAATGCTTGAGGACAAGTAATATTTCAAGTTTGGGGGTATTTGATGTGCATATAATTTATCTATTTTTAATATTCCTTTACGCGAGGTTTTGTCAATATTTTTGGATACATTTATGTTATTTTATATGATTTTACCTTTGATTCTAGAGATTGCACTCAAATGAAGGAATCGTGAAGTTTTTAAGATAAAAGCAACTTAAAGGGGGCGGAATCGAAGATTAGCCGAATTAATGACTTAAGAATTGATGACTTAAGAATTTGGAGGTGAAAAATGAAATTCTGGACTTCCATTTGGGTTTGGCCGAGAGAATATGCATGGGTTTGGTTAGTTGAAAGTGGGCCAAGGCTGGAAATTTAATAAATGGACAAGCAGAACTTAAAGTTTTGGACATCAAAGAGGGCTGATCCATGTTATGGCAAACCAAGAAAAGAAGCCCATGCCATGGTCGTTTTGAAGAAGCTTCCGAAAGTGGTGTTGCTGGTTTTTGCCTCAGACGAAACCGAGAAGAAAAGCAAAATTTCCGAATTAAAATCCCAGCAGAGGCGGTGCAGCAGAGCTTGATTTTTCGGCACAAATTTAATCCAACTTGAAGTAGGGAATGAGTAATCTTAACCTCCAAGGAATAAGGCTGGAAAAAAAAAACTATATAAGGGCATGTTAGGATTGTTATTTTTTTACCACCACACCACCGAACCTTGACCGAAAACTCACGTCTCTCTCGGCTGCAAAACTCTCTCCCGCCGACCTCCACCTTCACCTCACGCAGCAGCGGCCTCTGCCTTGCTCCAGTTCATCATTCACGCATGCTCACCTTTATCCCATCACCTCCTTGCTTCCTTTTCTCCACTACCACGCACACCCTTACTTCCACCGCACCGCGCATCATCAAAAACTTCATCATCCTCAGACCTTGAGCAGCAGCCGCAAAGCTAGCACAGTCGGGGAGCTTTCGGCGGTTCTTGTTTTCATCCGAGTGTTTTGTTTTAATTATTTAATTTAGATTTTTTTGGATTATGTCTCTAAATATTATTGAATTATTTTTAATAATGTTTAGTGGCTAAATTCTTTTAACCTAGGGCTTGGGTGTAGCCACCGAATTTATTTGGTTTATTTGGTTCATTATTATTTGATTTTCCATTGATCAATATTTAATATTCTTGCTTATATTCCATGTTTTTAACTGGCCACTACTTGCATATTTAAAGATATTAATTGATGGAATGATAGTTAAAAATTAAGATTAGTTCATGGGAATATTGGACTTAGGTAGTGAACCACGACAGTAGGAACACAACCTTTGCAACGTTAGATTCTTAAGTTCTTAATGTGCTCTAGTTATTTCCTATAGTCACGACAGTAGTCATAGGATTAATTAGAGTAAGAGAATTATATCACAACAGTGAATAGTGCTTAATTAGGTGAATCGTTGTGAGATTAATAGAAGTTAAAAGTCAAATACTTATGAATTGAACCAAACCAAATTTTGGTAGGTGAACCCAATGTCCTAGGTTTTCTTTGTCTGATTATTTTAATTAAGATTATTTGCTTTTATTTTATTTATTTATTTTAGTTTTAAAATTTATAAATCTGAGATCGTCATTTATCTAGATAATAATAGGAGTAATTTATACCTGGTAATTAGTATTCCTTCTCTGTGGGTACGACCCTATTTTCCGCTATACTAGTGTTAAGTAGGTAAATTTATTTGACTAGTTCTGACGACGGCTTGTCAAAACCACACCACTCGTGGCTGGGTATTGCCGGATTTCCATTCGACCGTGGAAAACAAGCAACTAAACGTGAGCAAGGGAAGGGTTTTACTAGGTTTCTTTTCGATCGTGTTTTTGAATTTACACCTAAACTCGAGGATGAGATTTTCTCACCCCAGGAGAATGATGAGGGACGGAAACATAGATTAGGTTTTTAATTATTTTTATTCAATGATAATTTAGTTATTTAAATTTAGTTTATTAAGGTTTTATTTTTATGTCGTCTTTTCTATTTAAGGGCTTTGGCCGCCTCATTGTAATTCGGTTGTTGATTTAAAAAAAATATTGAGAGTTCATCTCTTTTTACAGAATTCATGGTCCAATTTGTTGGTGGGATTTTTGATATCTTAAACAACGGGTATTCGTGCGTCGAATCAGCGGTATTTAGGAGGGTTGTATTTCTCGGTATTCGCAGAATCAACGGATTTATGACGAGCTACTTGTTAAGGTTCAAGATATAGACTTCCGCTACTGCATCATAGCCATTGATGGATAAAGAGTATCGCACTGTAGATAAACATTGCATGATCCAACCTAAATGGAGGGAAAATTCATTCTTTGCAAAATGGCTTCGAGAAAACTCGAGGAAACTCGATCGAAGGCCTTATTCATGTCAATTTTGACTGCTGCTAGTCCTCGTTTTTTTGGTTGTGTGGTGCTTTATATGGTGGAGGAGTTCGTGTGTGATGATGATGCTTTCACTGATATGACGCCCAGGGATGAAACCATTCTGTGCCTCATCGATGATGGAATGTATAACTTGCTTTAGAGGTTTGGCCATAGTTTTTGCAATAATTTTATATTTAACATTGCTGAGTCTAATCGGTCTAAAATCATTTGGTGTTTCAGGAGATAGCTTCTTTGGTATTAAGTTAATAGTAGAGTCGTTCAACCCATCCGGCATCACTCCTGTTTGGAAGAACTCTTGAATCACCTTTACAACTGTATTACCAATCAAATTCCAATAGTGTTGATAGAAGCCCGCTGGGATGCCGTCCGGTCCCGGGGATCTCCACGGGGCCATTTGCCATATTGCAGTTTTAATTTCATCATAAGTGAAGGGCATTTGTAGCATTTCAATTTGATTCGCATCAAGAGTGAAGGAAATGCGATCAATTAGCCCCTCAAAGGAGAAAATTTCAGGATGATCATGGAGTATGGGTCAACATCACAGTATAAGATTTGAAAATGATCAAGTAATATCTGTTGGATTTCTTTAGAATCAAAGGTCCAGTCACCATTGTTACTTTTCATTCCTTAAACTTGATGGCCTCCTTTTTTAATTGTTGCCCATCTATGGAAAAATTTAGTGTTGCGGTCTCCTTGGACATTCCATAAACTTTCTCCAGGAGATCATCACAGCCTTTGGTAGTTGTTCCACTAATTCTGAACCTGTTTCCGTTGCTTTGCATTTTGAAATATCTTCCTACAAGGGTAAAGGGGAAATTTTTTTTGTACCGCACAAAAAAAGATTAAAATAATACTTCCTCCAGTCCTTATTATAAACTATTTTGATTTTTCCTAAATTTTATTTAGTATTTTTTTTCAATTAAGTAGTAATAAAATCTTAAAATATTTTAAAATAATTAGCACATAATAGATGTGAAAATGTATTTTTAAGGTTTTATGTTTAATTTAAAGAAGATATTAGTGAAATTTAGTACAAATCAAAAGACATTATAATAAGAACCAGAGAGATTATATATTAAATTCATCCCAAAATGATTGCCCAGTTTTTTATTTTTTTTTAGCACAAATTGTAATTAAACATGATATCCAAACAGAACAATGATTTTGAGACAAAAGGATACATATATGATAACACATGCAACACGTCTCTAATTTAGTTACATTCTCAATGATATTCATCAAATCTTTAACTCGTGTATTTATCGTTATTCATAGAATGGCAAGGATATTAAACTGAAAGAACTTGATACAAGAAAAAGAAACGATAAGGGTCATATGTTAGCACCGAAAGGCTGTTATGCGTGTGCGTGTATCAGACTATGAATAAATAGAGATAAAAACAAATAGAGATAAGTAAAAGTCTTTTTACAACTTACCATACATCCGGGTTACCCGATTGGGGGATCTTATTAGAGGCAAAACAAATTTAGAGAAATAAACAAAAGTCTGATTTGTTTTATAAGTACGGGTTATGGAACTATTCCAATTTCTACAAACAATGTCCCTTAATTTCCATGTCGCTAGACTTTGCTGAGGTATTCTCCAAGAGCCCATATTGGAAAAATGTTTCTATAGTTTGAATAGCTTATCGTGCAATTTCTATTAAAAATTCCAATGATTTCCTGTACCAAAAAGACCAACAAAGAATGAACGTTTTAATCAGTTAGATTTGAGATCAAAATTGTGTCGCACTCGCGAAATCTTCCGTTGTATAAAGCCTAAAGAATACCTGTTGTGGGAAGTCACCATTTTCCATTTGTGAATTGATGAGAACTTTTGCTGCACGATGCAGGGGATTGGGATCTCTCTTGGCCTAATTAACCCCGTCCATATTTTCGAAATATTAGTAGCTTTCATCAGTACTAAAGATTCATGATAACACTTTCGAAATCGATATGAGTACCTGGTCAGCTTTGATGAGACCTAACAGAGCCCATGCAGTGTTTACATTGTGTGTTTTGTTTCCCTCAAGGTTTGTGTACAACTGAAATCCAACGAATGTGTAACTTATCACCGTCAAACTGTAACGCTTTACTATTTCAAACCAAATATGATTATCTGTCACACTTGGTTTCTACTATCAATAGTGTCTTGTTCGTAATATGATGAAGCTACATCAAGACCAGGATTTTATATATTTAGGTTATGAATGTACAAATAAATGAGACTGAGGAGCTAACCCTTATGATTTGAAAGGAAAAAAATTGGCTGATAACTTTTTGTTACCTTATTTTGAGAAGAAATGTAGCTCTCTCCCCATCCACCGGATGGGAGCTGCTTGGAGAGTAAGAATTCACAGGCTTTTCGAATACTTTTGCTATTATCATAGGTCTTCCCTCCTTCCACCAACCCTGTAATGCCAAACCATGTTCCATAGGTGTAGCAGACTCCCCAAGATCCATACCTAATTAATTTGATAAAAAAACCTTAGTATTGTTGAACTTGAAATTGTTTCATACTTGGGGTTTCAGGAAGTAATTTTTTCTGTCGGGATTACCATGAACCATCAGGAAGTTGTATGCTTTCAATGAAATTTAGGGCTTTCTCAATGCAGGATTCGATCTCTTTCTCCCGATGTGCTGGGTACAATTTGTTGAATAATCTGAGAGCCTGAACTGCTGCTGAAGTGCATTCTACATACCTGTATACAGTTACAAACAATATTTGATTTGAGTACTATGAGACCCTCCGAATGAAAAGGGAAAAAAAAAAAACCAAATAAACCCCAAAGTGTGTTAAGGCAAAATCTCACGAACTTACGGGTAATCAATCATAATATCTCCAAATGTTTCTGACGGATTAATTTTCTGTAGCAACAAAAAGATGATGGTATTTATCTACAAAAAAGGAAAAAGACAAAAAAAAGACCGTGTCCACAGCAAAGCTAATAAGCATTTTCTTTACCTCCAACCAAGCGTAAGATCTAGTGAGCTCGTAAGATGCAAAACCTCCATTGTTGTTCTGCCATGTCAAAAAGAAGAAAAATGACTTCAATAAGCTCTCTCAGAAAAAAGCTTCAAAGAACTTTTAGACAAGGTGGTAAAAGTAGTGTGTTGGAAAAATTACAGCAAAGTTCTTGAAGCAAGATTTTTATGTGAATATTATGAATGCCTTTAGGCTTTAGGATAAATTAAAAGATGCAATAAACATTTCATTCTTCAAGAACTCTACTAGAACTTTCGAATTGAGGTTTCTAGGCAATCTCTTGATCCAAATTGAAGGTATACACTAAAGGGATTCGAAGAGGAAAATAAGTTTCTTTAAGAAAATACCTGATAGGATAGAATCACATTAACAGCATCATAGAGCTTTTCATTTTCTACCGCCACTCTGGAAATATCAGATGAAATTCTTGATAGCAGGAGAGCTGCCTACAGAAACACAAGTTCTATGTAATTTGTATAGTTATACATAGAGAAATAACCCTTTTATGTCTTCCAAGTGCTTCTTAATAATTACTCCCTCTTTCCCAAAAAATGTCTAGATTGCCTTTTGAAATTTGTATTGTTTTTTTAGTAAAAATCTCAAAACTTAGTGTGCACTATTTTTTTTTTTTGGGATGGATGGAGTATTAGACAAGGTATTTCAAAAGTAAGTTATGTTAAGCAAACAAGTTTTTGTTGCATAAAGCCTATGCATTACTAAAGGTCGCACTAAGATTAACCTTTAGGCCTTCCGAGGTAGTATCTGCTCCAGGCCAGCCATTGTCCGCGGTGGAGAAGCACCATGAACCTTTTGAAATGTGACGATACCAGAACTTAAGATCTCCAGGATTGTCTTTGTCAATCTTTAACAAGAGTTGTAAATTAAACACATTCACTCAGAGAGAACAATTTACAATGCAAGAAAATCAAATTCATGAGTTGATAGATCATTACCTGAGAAAGCTTAACAAACATGTGCACTTTTTGAAGCATCAAACCGTTTTCATCAGGGAGGTTTGTTGCTAATATTGCTTGAACCGCTAAAGCAGCATCCCACAACTGAGATCCATTATATCCCTGCCAATAAAAAAATAAATGGCCTCCACGGGGTAAAACATCAAACTGGATTCTTCGAAATTGATTCAATGTGAATCACATCAGAAAGCCAATGTTACACTACATGACATATATAGCAACTTCCCGTGAAATTGAACAAAATGAATTAAGATTATAGAATGAGCACCTTCAACTTCATGCCATCTTCTGCCACCCACAAGTAATCTTTTATCCTTGCAAGATGCGACTTGATGGCTTTGGAGTTCGGATTCTCAACCCAACGACATACCATGTTTAGCACCTACAGAAAATTGACCTTACAATTGATATTTGCGTGCTGATAGTAAATAATTTTAGGTCATGATCAGCCTCCTTAAGAAGCAACAATAACCACCTTATTAACAGGTGCTATACAAAGGTAGTGAGTGTTTTCATCCTCATAATGAATATGCTCCATGACAGTCATCAAAGCTTTCTGCCTCAATTTAGAGAAAGGCCACTTTCGAAGAAGGGGCTCGACGAACTTGTTCAGACCATCCCAGAAGAGATCTTGTACTAGTGGATGTGGGCAGTATAAATCTTCCTGAACTTCCTCAGTAATTAGGACTTAAGATTGTTAGAGTTTACCAAAAACTAGAGGTTGATATCCCAGACAGGAAAGAAAAAAATAACGAAAAATGACAGACTGACAGTTAGCTAGCATGTCTGACGCTGAGACACATTCTGAGAATCAACTGATCAAAAATTACATTCACAACAAAGTTTCCCAATTTCCTCAAATAATTTTTGAAGTAGAAGTATTTCAACTAAGTGTAAGAACCTTGTTGCAAACAGAACTAGGTTTACACATCTCGTTGCCATAAACATTTCTGCATTTCTAACTTGACAGTAATTAAAAATGCCAACTTGATAGGAAGATCATAGGGTGTAATCAAACCTTAGCGCACTGATTTCTGGCTAAGTTCCAACAAATCTGGTGGTAAGGTTGTGAGTAGAGCTCTTTTCGCAACGAGACAATTGTGTCGTTTAACGGCGCAGTGTATCGCTTTCCATAGAGGTATGACATTGGCAAGTACACCATCCTAGTGTGACACCACATTCGACCTGCAATGCAAATGCCATTTCATTCATTTTCTTGTTAGTTCCAACTGAAAACCTTTTCTACTTCAACTTCATTGCTCAATACCACGTCAATACTGATCTCCTACGAAATTTATGATGAAACGATTTATGAAATAATATGTCAAAACTGAAAGATTATTATCCCTCTAATGTTAGAGTCCTCTAATTTTAGAGTGACGTGTATGGCCTCCCAAATTTGTTCATTCTTGACATCAATGGCTCTTTGGAGAAACTCGATTTTACAATCTATTTCCCATAACACTCCGTCTAATGTATGGATGTATATCAGTATTATGTACATTAAAATGTTCCTATCCAGTTAATATATGCACGATTTCTTCCTCTGATTTTGTATCAGGAAATTTATATTATTATAACAACTTATAGTAAAAGATAATATACTCATGATATTTTATGTTCAACAATAAATTATGACTTGTTAGATATAAAATATTGAGGTGAATTTGATGATAAATTAAATAACCTGGATGTATCGGAAGAAAGTAAGGGAGAAGCCAGAGTTCGGGAGGCAGAGGATTGTTGCCACTCCAGTCATAAACTCCAAGTACCTAATTGAAATATTGGTAATTGGTTAACTTGTTTATATAAACTTAATGACATAATTATCTATCCCGGAAATTATTGTCCAGTTTGGATTTTTAATTTTAGTACAAATTGAACCAAAAATAAAAGTACAAATAGAAGGAATATATAACGCAATTATAATTTAAGATATCATTTACATCAAAAGTAATTATTTTTCCCCATTCCAAGCTCCAACTAGTAAAGGCTTTAATTAAATTTGCACACAAAAAATAAATAAATCATCTTTCAAGACGTAGTTAAAGCCAACTTTAATAAAACTAAATCATTTCAAAATTACATACGTCATGTTTGATATGTGTAGCTTTTTATTAGTTAATTTAAATAGGAAAAGAATATGTCTTGGTAGCGATTTTAAGGCCAAATTGAAAATTTACCTTTAAGAAAATTAAACCCTAAAAGATTATTATTGAACTATGAATTATTTTTCGTACTATACTCGAAAACTCTTTTCTTTTCTTTTTTTTTTTTTTTTTTGGGCAAAGCCATCGCAATGTCAATAACTTTATGTATTCTTACAGAAAGCCAAAGCTTCCCCCATGATGGGATGAAAGTGCATCCTCCATGATCAAGTATCCAATTTCGAGCTATCTCCATCGCTCCATTCCGGCCTTCATCGGCCGGCTCGCCAAGAAGCCGCAGAGACACGTAAATAAGAGCGCTACAAAACATGGTGCTCCGGTCTTCTATATGCAAACCCCATCCACCATCTGCGTTCTATATTTATGAAAATTACTGATCAAATTCCACCGAATATTATCCCAATAAAGTTGATGGAGTACTTTCAAGTGTCTCTAAAGAAATTAATTAAGCTGTAGGAATAAAAACATCCAATCGGTTCATAAGAATTGAAATGTTATGGATGCAACAATTCCTATGTACTAGATCGTCTTTTCATGCCTTCTTTTTTTTCCCCCCTTTTCCTTGGTTCTTTGGAATCCTGAGGCATGTTATGATGGGGTGATGGATTTTGGACATCTCAATTGATAATATATTGTCCCCAAAAAAATTTCACATTGAATTTTAAGATATGTACTTAGTTTTAGTTAACCCAATGCCTATTGATTCACGATTTTAGGTTCAACCAATTGTGTGAATCGAACTAAACCAAAACCTATCCGAAATTTTAGTTTCAGTTTATATCGGTTAAGATCAATGAGTGGAATTGATCGAATCAGTTTGGATAAGTGTATATCTACATTGAACCGAATCGACCAAAAGCCAAAAGGAAAAATAAAATTCAAATACATATGCTCTTGACCGCTTCCAACCATCGTTTACTACTATTGCCGACAGGGGCACCACCCTAGTGACCCACTTCCAGCCAGATTTTCAAGCAAAGTTTCTAAAAACTTGACGTTTTCTAACAACCGGCAACACCGGTGTGATGGCATCGCCATTACGTTTTGATTGGCATTATCGTCAATGATATATATATCGATTCAGATTTTTAGGTTCAAAAAGTATTAGCTTTCTGCAAAAAAACCTAGTTTTAGTACAAATTTACAAATTTAATGTCGACTATTTTTAGAGTTCGAGAGCAATGGCGAAACTGCTTAGGGGTTCGGGGGATACCGAGCCCCACGATCAGCCGAGAAACTTCTTAGGTATTGATATAGCTGACCTCGCGCTATATATGTCTGACATCTTTTCCGATCGACTATGAACATGTGGTCAGCCCCCAAATCTGAGGAGCTGGTTTTGCCACTGAGAGAATATTGTTTATAAATTGAACCAAGATAATCAATGCAGAAATCTGAGCGACCAATATTATTGTTTTAAACTATGGGGAACTGAAAGAGTTAGATTCTATTGTGCTAGGGGCAAATATGCTTTCGTTATTAGAGATCACTGATTGATAAGATTATTATTCCTTTCCAAAAGATAACAAAAAAGATTGATAATAAACTCTGTGATGTCGGATCTGTAGATGTATTTGAATCGTTGGACGATTTTCAGCCCTAATAAATACAGATTTCTTTTTTTCTTTTTTAGTTTATAAAAGAAATTAAAAAGGTATGGGAGAGATTTTCTTCTTTTTTTTTGCATTAAAAAAAATATTCAAGTCATTTAGCAACTTATCGAAATTAGATCATGAACACGATGTAAACCACTCATATGGACGGTAAACATCGTTGTGATTATGACATGAATTAAATGCTTTTGTGCCCATCATTTATTTTCATCACTGTTCTTGTCCTCTATAATTAAGTTTCCAAGACACCATGAATTCTTCAAAAAAAATTTTGATCCATAATATTTTAATTATTCATTTTAATTTGCATCAAATTAATTAAAATGAGATGGAGGTGGTATTGTTTCATATACATAAAACATCTATGAATTAATACCATTTCAATCACTAAATCTTATGAGTTCATAAATTTATAATTTAATCGGTTAATTAATAATAATTAAATTATTGATAAATTAATGTATTATTAATTTAGAGAAATCATCTGAAAAGAAACTTGAAATTTCTAAGATTTAGGAAATAAAGTTAGATTTGAATTATATGAATTTACTTTTTAAAAATTTAAATTATATTTAAATTTCAAGAACAAACTAACATATTTATATTTATAATTATGAATTAAATATTAACGTGTGTTATTGTGGGATGAAATTTATACAAAAATATTTAAATTTATTATCTTATTATTTTACCGCTTAAATTTATTTCTTTTTTTACAGGTCCCAAATCGAGAGAAGAAAAAATGTTCATTATGGATATTATTATATATAGTGTATTTGGACGCCTCTAAGCAAGTCTGTTAGACGTAACATATACCAATCTAGTTGGTATAGGACTCTGTAGTACTACTACTAACTTACTTGATGATTATAGAGATACCGACGAATTTCTTTTTGGTGCTCACTTGATAATGTAGTTTCCACTGCTCCCATCACATACAACCCGATAATCTGATGAAAAAAAAAATCAAAAAATTAGAAATTCACTGAAAAAGAAAATTCCCAGTGATAAACATAGTCAAAGACAGTGAGATTCTACAGGTTATTGAAGTGAGTTTGAATATATTCATATCTTATTACTCATATTGATTCACAACGCTACCAAAAATAATACGGAAAAGAAAGAAAGGTATGTGTCGGTCCGTACCAAGCCCGGTAATAGAAATAACGGGCCACCATAATCACTAGGCCAGTGCCCATCTTCTGCTTGAAGCGTTGAGTAAAACCTTAAAGCCCTTCTCAAGGTTGTTACCACTGCTTCCTCTTTGATCGTTTCTTCTTCATCATTACTCCCTACTATTTTTGGTCCTTGTAAATTCACTTCACACGGATTCTCTTTCGCAAACTACAAAATTCAAGGCAATTAAAATAGATGAAATTATCTCAACAGTTACTCCCTCTCTCCCAATATTATTGTTCAGTTTGAGATTTCACTTTTTGTACAATTTGAACTAGAAATAAAAATTAAACTGAACAATAATTATAGGACGGAGGGAGTAGTACTTAACGTTGTGCCAGTACTCCACTTTGATTAGTTTCATCGAGAAAGAGAGAGGGCAACAAAAAGAAAAAAAAAAAAAATCATGACAGACAAGATTTGGTTGTCACATATGCTCGTGGCTTTGTTTGGATATTGTAATTTGACTTGCTAGTTGCTAACATGATTGGATAAATAATTTAGGTATGATGGAAGATTCACATTAGTTTGCCTTGTGTACAATGTATAGTTGTTGTTAATTACCTGGATTCGCATGATGAGGTCGGAACTGTGTCGAATCTCAAATCGATTCTTAGTGAACTCCTCTCGGACCTTTTCAACAAGAGCCTTTTCTTCTGTGCTTCCAAAGTTTGGATCGAACTCCCAAAACTCTCGTCCAATATGATTGTTCGAGCTTGTGATCCATTCCCCTTCATCATCTCCCTTTTGCGATAGTTTTAGCTTCCACATCCTCCTCTTCGATTGGCGTTGTATAACTTGCTTGTTTTGCTATTTTTGGCTCTATATATACAACTACTCATTCAGCAATCAATGTGCATTATTTCAAATGCTTTTGTTTTTCCTTTCTTTACCCTCACAACTAACCAATCAATTCAAAATTAATTTCATCAGTTTATTAATGTTATGAAGGACAATTTGAAGAATTTATAATATATTTGGGACCAAAAAAAACTAAATTTTGTTAGTTTTTGTTGGTTTGTGTAAATTTAGTTAACTCCATTTTACAAATAGTAATGGATGAAGTAAAAATTAATGTTACAAAAAGTTTATAATATTGATAACAGTTGAAAGGTTTGTACGTATACATACAACAAAGAAACCTTCACAAGAAGCTCCAATATATAGGACAAGGAAAAAAAATGAAAATCATAAAAAGTGATAGATCGAGCCAAAATAAGAACGAAGGAAAACGGGAAGAAATTTTTAAACATTAAAGATCAATTTCTTTATCTTCATATGTAGGAAACCAGAAGAGATTTTTGTCAAATTACCTCTAATGATAATTTCTTTACTCTCACTATTTGTGGGGTTATTTTGAGAAGTTATAGTTATAATAATTGTTTATGTCGCTGTTTACATTATTGCGTATGATCTTTAACGTCCGATTAAAAGCAGGATAATAAATTGTTAAAAATTTCTAGATGAAATAGATGACAATGAAAATGATTTGGGTGGCCACCATTTAATTTCTTCCAGTGTGCCTAATTTTATGAAAATGAATAAATGATTGAGCTTCTTATAGGCAGAAGCTTGTAGGCACACGCTTTTCTTCCAGTGTGCCTAATTTTATAAATATCTTGTAGGCACAAGCTTTTAATTTTTTAGCCTTAATAATTGAACTGCGCCCATTACTTGCTAAGTTACAAATTAATAATACTGTCTTGCGTTAGTCAATTTTGACACTCTTGAAATTATGCTACGTACCGAGCTCGAAACTTGACAGTTTTCGGGCTAATCTAATTTTATTTCTTATTATTGGGACATAAATGTGCCTGCGTACTAAGCAGTTCTTAATTACTCTTGATGATCACCTGTAGACCTAGTTTATAAATCTTCCTCTCGGGCCTCTTCTACTCCCAAGCACAAAAATCTATTTAATGGAAAATTTTATGTTAAAATAATAAAAGTACAGTGCGAATGAGGTGTTGATGACCTCAGAAAGTTTAACGAACCTGTGCACTTTCTGAAGCATCAAACCGTACTCGTCAGGGAGGCTTGTGCCTAGAATTTTACGTCGCAATGGACATCGATCGCCTAGAGCAACAGTAAGCACTTACCAACAGGTCCCGATGCAAACGTAATAAGGGTTTTTATCCTCGTAACTCTCAGTAAATGATTTTAGGCTATGCTCTTATGTCAGTTTGATTGAGTTCTTCAATTGATGCCGCTGAACTTTAAATTTTGCGCGTTCCCTAAAAGGGTTTTGAAGTACTAACTAGCACTATACAAAATAATTGGGTTTCTGAATATTGACAAATGCTACTCCAATGAAATTTCTGAACTTGGTCAAATCACTACAAAATGTCGACCTCGCTGAGCATAGTTAACTGTATGAATATGCATGATATTTGTCCGATCAAAATCAGGATATATATGTATGATTAAATAAAAGAAAAGTTACTACCTTCATTCAATTTTATATATCACTTAAGGGTTTGCATAACTATTAAGTAACAAATGATTGAGATTTTTAATTTTCAACTGTATTATCTTTCTTGCCCCTAATTACAAGTATTGGAATCCTACAAAATTTTGAAATTAGAGCGTAAAAAATAGTTAATTGTCATTAATATATGTTATTAAAAGTAAAGAGAGACAAGGGTGAAAATTAAAAAAAAAACTGTATTTAATGATGAATTAGAAATGAAGTGTGACAGATAAAAAAATTTGGATTCATCCTAAAGCCACAGATAAAATTGAATGGAGTTAATATAGGGATAAAATTGACCAAATTGAATGATGACTCATTTTTCCTTCCAAATTAAACTTTCTTCTCTGTAGTCACCTCCACTTCTAAGCCTTCATCATAGATTCATCAGTGAACTCTGGCTATCTCGTCATCATAGTAACTTGTCAAAAGCGCTCCGTGGCAGCTCTTTCTCTGGGTTTTCCTTTTTGCACTTCCTTATTGTTTGCCTAAAAGAACTCAAGATTCTTCAGGCTTGCTTCTAGCTCAAGCATTAATGCTTCATCATATCTATCTATTTTGCAGGGTTCTGTTTTCCAAACTTTGTTCTTTTTTTCCCTCAGTTTAGCGTAAGCAGAATCAATGTAGGCTTCAAGTCTTGCACTTATTTTACGTACGTCTTTTTCATCAACATCATTCAGAGAATTGAGATAAGTTCTCTCTCTAGGCGGATGTTTTTCGCATTGAACCCGCCTCATTTCCTGTCTAGCCGACTCTGAAAGTAGGCGTTGTTCTTTCTTTATGAAGGAAATTCTCAAAAGCATCAAGATCCTTTGTCCAGAGATTTTTCACAGCTTATGTCTTATCTCTATCAGCACAGAGTTTGTCAATTTTCCGAAGAGTCAGATCCATTATAGCCAACTTCTTTGCTGTTTGCTGATGTTTCATATGTTGCCTGAGCAGCGCGAAAGGGTTAAAAAAAATGGTAAAAGTTCCTGATCAAAACAGGGAGAAGTGAGAAATATGAGTTCTCCTTAATTTACAATGAGTCCTTAGTTATTCATTCGGTCATGACCGAATGTCTTGTCTTTCAAGCAACTTTCTTCCTTTTTAATTTATATATAAACGTTTGGGTTCTTTTTAAGTAAAATTGATGAGTATGGATGTTTCAATTCCATGTGCGCTTTGCAAATGCAGTTTATTGATGTTACCATGAGTTATATAATAGATGATGTATGGATCACGATAAATAGTGATACAACTAATCGTAAATTTCTTACACGCCGTGCATGCATGCATGCTTGGTTTACTTAGAGTATTGAAATTTCCAAATGATTAATTGTTTGAGACGGAAGGAGTATAAATCTTCTAACGTGTCGAACTCATGATTTTAATATGTACAAACATGATTGATTCTGGACCCGTGGAGGTATTTAGTTTCATGTGTATGACGTCCCGGATGAAGAAGCTTATGTATCGAACACGTAAATTTTGCATAAGGAATGATTAATGAAACAAAATCCCTTCTGCTTCCTTTGTTTCCTATACCAAATGTAGCAGCGAATCCTTTAAATATCCTGGAAATGCATCATTTCATGAACAACCTTGCATGATGCAAGTACTTTTCCAACAAAGTTTCTCAACTGATGGGCCCAAACATCAGGGTGAAGTTTTTAAAATTGATTTCTTTGTGGCGATTTCATATTTATTTTAGTAAATAATATTTGCAATGAGTTTCAAATTTTAGTTATTGAAACGGAATACCTCAAACTGGAGTTCAAGTACTATTATATGTCGGTATGCATGTATATTGTGTTACAAGGAATTAAAAAAAAAAAAAGAAAATCAGAAATACATCAACTTATATTATAGCGAAACACAGTACTGAAGATTTTCCATGTTGTTCACAAGTTGATAATGATCCAACGATTTACTTAGATATAAATGTTGAGTCGTTTACTTAAGACAAACAAGTTTAATTGTTTTGATCTATTTCCATCAAAATTTCTGCGTGGTGTATATCTGCCTTAAAACAAATAAGAATACATTTTGAAAGAAAGAATTAAAACCGGCATTCCAAAACTGATAACTTGACGGTACATTTTGATTTTGCCTTTTTACGTAATATCCTAAATCGCCTAACTTTAAAAACCCTAAAAAGGAATTAGGGAAGACGGCTTTCTTTCGCACATCCAACCGTTGGGACTCAGCTGCGTATGGCATATTGTTTTAAAATTTCGAACTACGTAATTCTTTGTATTATTATCCCCACGTTAGAGCTACTAAACCATAGCTTTTTTCCCTATATAAATATGCATAACCATGCACGCCATTATTCCTTTACAATTTTACCTGTCATTTGCGCTAAATAATCATACCCCAAAAATCCTTCAACATGGCTACTTTTACAAATTCTTATCGAAACTTGTGTATCCTAATGCTTGTGGTCATGCTTTTTAGCTCATGCTTGGCAGCAAGACCGGGGAGGGAATTAGTGATTGAGAACGATGAAGATCAAGGTTCAAATTTGATGAAACCCACAGACATTCTGAAGATTTTTGAGAGAAAGTTGTTAGAATGTGATTCAAAGTTTACGAGGGAAGAGTTACCATTGACTAAGTCTTGCTGCAAAAATTAGTTCTTATCTTTCTGTTGCTTGATTTTATGTTTCCGTTGCTGATTTTAGGTATGGGATAATGCCAAGATTTTGGAGCATAAAGATGAAAACTTTGTTTAGGTCTCAGGATCTTTGGGACTTGGTAGAGAATGGCTACTCAGAGCCTGATGATGAAGCAAGGCTGAGAGAGAACAAGAAGAAGGACTCAAAGGCGTTATTCTTCATCCAGCAAGTAGTTCATGAGTCGATCTTCTCCAAAATTGCTGCTGCAAATATGGCCAAAGAAGCATGGACAACTTTGAAGACGGCTTTCCAAGGCTCTTCGAAGGTAATTATGGTGAAACTTCAATCTCTTCGCCGTGATTTTGAAACATTGCAAATGAAGAATGGAGAATCAGTTCAGGATTTTCTTTCAAGAGTTGGAGCAATTGTCAATCAAATGAGAGCCTATGGTGAAGATGTTGCTGATGCAACAGTCGTTGCAAAGGTACTATGGAGCTTGACTACTAAGTTTGATTACATTGTAGCAGCCATTGAGGAGTCAAAGAACTTGGCAGTGTACTCGTTTGATGAGCTTATGGGATCATTGCAGTCCCATGAGGCGAGATTAAACCGACAAGAACAGAAAGTTGAAGAAAAGGATTTTTAAGTGAAGGGGGAGCGAGCAGCTGGAAGAGGTCGTGGTAGTGGGGGTCGTAGTGGCCGAGGAGCTGGTAGAGGCTATGGTCGAGGAGGACGTGGTCATGAGCAAAAGGATGATTCACAAGCAAGTGAAATGTCAAAAGGTCGTTGGGCTAATGTTGAATGTTACTATTGCAAGGAATTTGGGCATATTAAGGCATATTGTAGAAAATTGCAGCAATCTAACTATGTCATGAAGAAGAAGAGGAGGAAACCAAGCTTTTCATGGCATTTCAAGAAGATGCAGCTCTTGACAATGATGTTTGGTACTTGGACAGTGGATGCTCTAAT